ATATATATTATATATGTTATACACATATAGCATAGCATATAGTATGATGTGCTACAATACAATAAGAGCATATTATCAACACTCATGTTTAAAACATAAGGAAATCTTGGAGTACTAGTTGAACATATTCTGTAATCCTAGTGACTCGGGAGGCTGAGACTTGGCAGCCTGGGGCTGGAAGATGCCTGGGTAGAGTACTTCATGAGATTCCATATCTAATAGTCAGCAAAAAGCTGGAAGTGGAGGTATGGAAGCTGAGTGCCATCCAGGAGCCAATAAAACCAATAAAGTGTGAGGTCCTGAGTTTAAGCTGATGTACTAGCATACAAAAACAAAAGCAAGGAAGGAAAGAAGGGAGGAAGGAAGGGAGAAGGAAGGGAGATAACAGCTGGACAATAAGAGAAAAAAGAAAAGATAGAGAGCACACTATTCAGGTGCCATTAGAAACTAAGTAGGAACTGGCAGTATTTGACAAAGAATTAGAGGAAAAATAAACAAAATTGTAATTTAATAGAAAGCCTAAGTGGAAAGGAGATAAAAAAATTAAAGGAAATAAACAACAATATTAATAAATATAAGCAAATTGAAATGGAAATAATCAAAACAGGGTAAAAGTCTGAGAAAACTTGAAAGTGGAGGGCAAATAAAGGAAATCAACATAAACAGACATTAGCAGTTATTATAGTATATCAGGATATTATATACTTAAAATTTTAATATGCACATTCAAATGTGCAGTTTCTACAAGTCCTATGTGGCAATAAAATTATAAGTGTCTAGCAAACAGATAAATCAAAAATAGAGCAATTCGTTACCATTGAACTATAATTTCCTTAATTTTCTTCTTCGGATACTTTTTGCTTAAGTTACATGTTTAAAGATAAGTACATGGAAAAATATAAGTACATGAACAGCCTTTTGATGGTTTTGCAGCTTGTTTATCGACATGATTAAACTGTCCATTTTAATTAAACAGTTTAGGGACATTAGCTAAATTAGAATAATACATTCTATTAAATATTGAAAATAAATATTGCAGTTTGTTGATGAAATCATTGGTCATTTTGGAATAGAGAAGCAGCATGCACATATTGTAGATTGAATCATAAGAAAAATAAATTAGTTAATTGATGATAACTCAGATAGCAGGCTCTGAAGGGATAAAGGGAAACATACAAATGGAGCTCTATCTGGCTATTTGGAAATACTAACTCTTCCACAGTACACCTCTGATTCATCAGCAAATGTTCATGTGGTGTTCATAATTTCTTCAAGCATGATATGACCCATGTCAGGGTTTAAAAACAAACGAAAACCTTGTCTTAAGAAAATAGAATGAAGACAAAACAAAACAAAACAAACCTAACAGGCTTTTCAGTCAGGAGAAAAGAATGCAAGGGAAAAGATCAGATTTCCACTCTGAATGGTATAGGTTTACCAGCACTGTGAAAGCAACAAAGAAGGTACTGTTCAAAGTAAGGGGACTAAGAGTCAGTAATGCAGACTCTATCCTATGCTTTTAACAGTATTTATTGAAATCCTTATTTCACATGAAATAACAAACATTACTCACATAGTTATTCAACTCCAGCACTAAGGAAATTCTTGCTTTAAAAGTTTTGTTTTAACTGAGTTGATGATCTAAGGAACATTTTTGAAGTTCATGCATGTGCTTGTGTTTGTGTGTGTGTGTGTATGTGTGTGTGTGTGTGTGTGAGCGTGTGTGTGACAGTACGCATGCGCCCCCATGTTTATATTGTAGCTTGAACTCCAGGTCTCTAGTTTTCATTTAGCTTGTTGGCTTGCAGCTGGATCTGTGCCACTTGACCCATATCTCCCTAGGCTGTAAACTTTTCTGCCTGGGCTGGCTTTGAACAGCAGTCCTCCAGATTTCTGTTTCTAAATTTACTAGTAGTATATTTCTTTTGGGCTTCTGGGTTAAGACCTCATTTTTTGGGGGGGTCTGGTCGTGGGGCCTGAACTCTGGGCCTGGGTGCTGTCCCTCAGCTCTTCAGCTCAAGGCTAGCACTCTACCACTTGAGCGACAGCGCCACTTCCAGCTTTTTTTCCTTTTTGTTTATATGGTGCTGGGGAATCGAACCCAGGGCCTCATGCATGCAAGGCAAGCGCTCTACCAATGAGCCGCCTTCCCAGCCCCAAGACCTAATTTTTTGGGGGGGAGGGAATCCAATTGTGGGGCCTGAACTCTGGGCCTGGGCGCTGTCCCTCAGCTCTTCAGCTCAAGGCTAGTGCTTGCTCTACCACTTGAGCCACAGCGCCACTTCTGGCTTTTTTCTTTTTGCTTATGTGGTGCTGAGGAATCAAACCCAGGGCCTCTTGCATGCAAGGCAAGCGCTCTACCACTGAGCCACCTTCCCAGCCTAACACCTCATTTTTTAATGTAAATATACTATTAGTTTAAGACTTCTCCTTCTATCCTGCATACTTTCAAGTTGCAGGGGATTTAGGCAAATAATAGGATATAAAATGTGCATAAAGAATAGCTAGCCTTATATACTATTTTGCAAAACATGGTAACCTGGAATTAATGAATAACAGTGCTTATCTAATTCAAATAAAATTATTCAAAAATTTTTTGGTAGATTTGCCATGATTTAATGACAGTAAAATTTCAATGATCCTTTCAAATATAGTAACCATTTTACTACTAGTATGCCAAGATCAAAATTCAGGAGTCTTCTGTTCATATTTGTAATTTCAGCATTCCTACATTTCTTTAATAGTTTTTTTTTTGGTCCAAGAAATTCCTTTATCTTTAGAAATGCTTATCACTTCTACTTTTTCTTTTACAGCTGCACTTTTGACATTTTTATGATTTTTTTCCTCTAAGTGTTTAAACTCCTGGCCAGTATCTGCTTTTATCCTGGAATCTGCCCTCCAGGTAAACAGTTTCACAATAACCTTACTGCAGCTCACAGCATAAGCTCTTCTTCCAGGACCCACGGAGTAGATCACCTGACATAGGCACATGTGCATGAATACATGTACATACCATCCCGGCAACCCCCTCATGTGCATATGGACACATGCTCAGAAGTGGACATTTCAGGTCATGAAACTTCTTGGCCTACACAGATCTACACAGGTACTGCTGTAACGTCATTTACACTAATTCTGGATCCCTTCCTTTCCCCACAGAGTATGTGCCTTCTTGACTGAGGTGAGGGACAATAGGTCTTGGAGCTTCTCAATTTCTATCTAGAGGGCCACTCCCAGATATAATCAAGACCTCATTCTCTTCCTGGCTCTGATCTACTACTTATCATCACAATTTCGGTCAGAGGTACTATAAGAGTATAGTAATGACTATAGGGGTAAGGACATATTGCACTCACTAGTGGCTCCTCTCAGTGTACCTGGACATGCTGAATTGCAGATGAAATGCTTGTTTTTACTCTGTGTCCTTTACCTAGCTTTTATTTCTTGGTCATTACCTTCTGATGTCCATCCCCTGTTTAGTAATGAATATCTTGTGATTATATTGCCTCATACATATTATGTCTCAGATTTAGCCCATCACTTTTCCTTTATATGTTTTTCTGGATGAGAGAATTGATTAAGATTCCAAATCACAATGATCATTATTGGGCTTTAGAGAAAGTGATTTCCTAATGAGCCCCAGATCTCATTTCCACCCAGGCCTCAGCATCTTTGATACATCATACCCACCTCCACTCATCCACATCCCTCTAGAATCTAAGCCCAGAAAATGATACTGTCCGTTTTGTTTATTCAACAAGTAAGATGATTTTCTTCCTGGCTTCTTGTTAGGGCCAAAAGAATAAATGGGATCTTGCCATACTCTAATTTCTTCTTTCTGCTTTGCGCCTGCTCATTTGTGACATCTTCTTACTAACACCAAGCTCATAGCTAGAGATGGGCTTCCTGAGTCTTTGCTTGCCAAACCTTGATGGGTAGTGGGTGCTTAAAATGCAGCAAATAATTCTAAATGCCTCATGTATAGGATCTCATTTAATTGACACCTGTGAGGTTACTAATATGATAACCCATACTGTGAGATCCTCTAATACCAAGGAAAGAATACTTGCCTTAAAAAAAAAAAGCTTCAGCTGTAAGGAAATGTATATTGTGGTTACTTAGAGGACATTGAATAGGATTAGCTCTAGAAATGACAAAATGAGGACATTGAGGTAGATATGGAAACTCTTTAACTTCAAATCCATTTCCATATTCCTGGCTTCCAGATACTCCCACAAATCCCCAGACAAGCTTTTCTGACTTAAACACTTCAGTGACTTAACCAGACATTAGCAGATTCATAAAGGTAACATATGCTCAGCACCCACCCTCCACTGCTTTTGAATTTTCCTTGCCCAGGTGGACCTTAGCATATCCCTGAGAACAGGAGGTCCAAGAGATAAGGAAGCAGCTTGTCAATTGCTATAGACAGAAATCCGGGGCACATGAGTGAGCAGGGATTCAAAGGATGCCCAGACATCTGCTCAAGGAAGATGAAATATTAAGTTCAGGCTACATTGATTATGGGGGTACAAGTTAAGGATACAAATGAATAGTAGTTTAAGCATTTGTCAGTTGACAAGTTTGGTTCGTGGGTGCTTGAACCCGCAGCCCACAGGCAGTATGGACTATGCACAGCACTTCCCTTTCAGTATTATGGAAACCAAAATTTGGGGGGAATAGGGACTTAAATACGGGTAGGGATATGAGTGTACCTATTAAAGCAGTGTCACTTTCATTACCTCAAATGACCTGGGTCAGAGTGATAAGTAACTTCTTCAGACACCCCTTACCCATGGAGGTCCAGAGGACATCCCCTGTACCTAGGGGTTAAGAAACACCTAGGTGAGAAGAGCATCAGAATTCTTATTTAACCCCCCCACCCCTCCCCACTCCCGTGGTCATGGTCCTCTGAAATCCAGACACAATGGGAATTACTGGGATTGAACTGGGTTGCCACAAGTAAGTGGGTAGGTGGGCAATGATAGCATTGAACCATTAAGAGGCAATTCTTTGTACTTTTTGTAGTGCTTGATATTTATTGAAAAGAATGCCAATGTTTTTCAAGGTAGTATTGAGGAGCTGGGCTGAGAGCCTATTCTTGTTTCTCTGCTTGTTTTGTTTACAATATTTTGTGTCCAAATGCTCACATCGGTGAGACTGCTACAATTTTGAAAGAAAACACAATCGTTGTGCAAAACCGAGTGCATAAGAAAAAAAGAATAATAACATTTTAGCTGTCAGGCACATTAGCCTCCTGCAGCACTCTAGGAGGGCAGAGGAGGACGCTGGGAGTGGGTAGAGAACTAACCAGACTGTAAATGTACCCCTTCAGGGGTTGGTGAGCTGTCCAAATAAGTGTCCAAAGTCATGGAGCCAACTCAGGCATCTTTCGCTTGGTCCTTATCTCCAAAAGGCTGTAGTCTGTCGGTGAGATGTGATGAGTGGTGGGAAAGTGGAAGCATAGGTGTCTGGGCAGATGAGTTGTAGGGTGAGTGCCATCCTCAGGGATGAGGATGATCTGGCCAGTGGCTGGAGCTCAGGACACAGTTCGGATTAGCAGGGAGGGGGCACTGGCCAGAGTTGAAGACAACACATGGAGACACAGTCAGCTGCAGATCAAAGCCCAGGCCCAACCCCAGCCCTGGCAGCAGGTAACTGGAACACTATTCCTGAAACCAAACAACAAGCACTACAAGGAAGGAGGGCGAAGGAGAGAATGGAAGGGCAGCGAAGGGGATGGCAGCAGAAGCGGGAGCGCGGCAACTCCGGGGCGGGGGGAGGGGAGGAGGGAGGGGAGATGGCATGCAGGGCCTTCTCCCCTCTAGGCCCAAGGGGTTCCAGGCCTAGTAATCATCCTCTTCGTAGTCGTCATCGTCATCATCATCTTCATCGTCATCCCAGCCAAAACACTGCTTCATCTCATCGAGAAAGGCCCGGTAATCACCTAGGATGGGGCTATCCATCTCGATGTAGGGCACCACCCACTCCTCGGCTTCCCCGGTGAGAAGGCTGATCAGGAAGGCCACCTTCATCGCGTCGTTGCAGAACCGGTTCTCGTTCACAAGCATGTAAGAGGCCGTCTGCACAATGAACTCGGGGAGCCGGGAACTCTCGCCGTTAAACGTCTCGGGAAAGGGCACCGGGCAGCTCGGCGGACGTACCTGGCGCAGCAGAGTTGCCCTCTCGCAAACCAGCAGCCGCAGTTGTTCCATAAGCTGGCTGTTCTCGATGCTCAGGGCTCGGTGTCTCACCAGGAGTGCGTGTAGCAGCAGCACCAATTCGTCCACCATGGCGAAGTGATCGCTAGGGCTCGACTTAGTTCGGCTCGGCTAAAGTGCACGCCAAGGCCTTGCAGGAAGTGCGTGTCCGCAGAGGCGCGCGGAGACCAAAGGCTGGGACAGTGCAAGGCGGGGGTATGGGCAGCTGCGCAAGCACCGCCTCCAAGGTCATTCAGGTGGCCAGCGCGCCGGCGCAGCTCGACGAGAAGGGAGTGGCTCGGGATGGTGCTGGGACAACGTGGGGGCGTGGCTAGGACGGGACCGGTTGTGTAGCGGGAGTATTAGCCTAGGAGGGCGTGGCCAGAGCAGGGTCGCTGAGCTGTGAGCAGGAGGTAGCTCCCAAGGCAGAGGCATAAAAGGCTTATTTCTGCTTGGAACTAAGCTAGCACACAGACTCCTCTTTTAGAGAGCTCCAACTTGCTCCAGTTGGAAGCCTTTGTTCCAAAATACTCCTACAGTACAGTGTATGTTTATGGGTCTGTGGTCACTGAATTTCTTTGGCTTGATTTTTTACCACAATCCTTTGCTTATTTAAATATCATTTAGAGAAATATCAACACTTCTGAACACACTGTAGGAGTTCACTTCCTTTCAGTCATGAGAATATCATAGGATCCTATCTTTCATAACAAAGAACGATTAAACACCACTCATACCTCCACTTCCTCCTCCTCTTCTGTGTACTGTTCCTTAGCTTTTTCACTCAAAGGTAGGCCTGTACCACTTCACTCACAGCTCTACTTCTGACTTTTTGGAGGTTAATTGGACATTCTCATGGACTTTCCTATCGCAATAGGCTTCAAACCAGGATACTCAGATCTCAGCTTCCTGAGTTTGGTAGTAGCTAGGATTACATAGGTAAACCACTGGCAATCTCTCTCTCTCTCTCTCTCTTTCTCTCTCTCTCTCTCTCTCTCTCTCTCTCTCTGTTAATTTTTTTAACCTGCAAAATCAGAATCCAATAACCATTTGTAGGACTCTGATCTTTGACTCCTTTCATGTTCTGATATTAATTGCATTGTTTTGGAGTAATATTTTCTGATTAACAATAGATAAAGATATCTCAGTTTTATTTTTTATTGTTATTTTGTGTTTTGTTTAAGTACTGGGGCTTGATCTCAGAACCTGGGCACTACCTTTAGTACGTTCCCAAGACTATCATTCTAACACTTGAGTCACAGATCTACTATCAGGTTTTTATTGGTTAATTGAAGACTCACAGAATTGCCTGCCTCTAAGGATTACAGGCCATAGGCACCTTGTTAGATGTCTTTCCTTTACTTTCATGTCTCTGCTTTGAATGTGATTATTGAAATAACTTTTGACAGCTCACTTGGTCCAGAATACTAGTGTGGACTTCTGCTATGACCTCTGCTTTAAAAATATATCCCCAAATTCAATCTCATCTTTTCAGTTTTATATCTACTGCCCTGATTTCAGCCTTCTCAAACAGACTTTTGTATGTAACCCCTTTCATTCTTCTCCTCCCATAGTATAATTTTCTACAGTGTAGTCACAGGAATTTTTTAGAGCTAGCTATGCTCCTTCATGCTCCTGTTCAAACTCCATTCCTTAATGGTTTCTCCTCTCATTCAGAATAAAAAGCAAAATTTTGGCCACATCACAAAAGGTCCTGCTTCTTCTCCTATGTCCTCTTCTGTACTAATCATCTTATCTACCTAGCTGATTTCTATGCCTATCAAGTAGTTCTGACCTTGATCTTTGCCATCTTTACATCTTAGTGTCTTTGCCATCCCTTTTGCCTTACCAAGGTCTGCTACCAGTGTCTAATCCCTTGCTCACAGAGAGAACTCTAATCAATTAGAGCATCCTGTCTTCTGCTAGAGATCTCTAATCCATTACCCTACTTTACTTATCTATATAGTTCTTACTATACTGACAGATACCATATAGTTCTTTGGTCATCTGTACCCACTTTTGAATATAAATCGCTGCACCAGGAGGGCACTTTGCCTTGCAAGATACACTCTCTTTATAAATGTACAGAAGTCACAGCAGGAACTCCCAAAATATCAGTTCGATGATAAAAATATAAAGTAGTGGCTGCACAAGGTGTCCAAACCTACTCTCCAAATTGTCCAGTATATTCTATTTCTAGTCATGCATCAGTCTCTATTGGGAAATGGAAATATATAAATGACAAGAGAAATTTTTCGATAGCAATCTTATTTTGTCCTTGACAATAGAATTGAATGATCACCCATAGAAGTCGTAGGCTTGAAGAGAGAAAGAAAACAGCCGTAAAACAAGTACAGGAAGGAAAGGTTACCTGGATGAAAAAGCAATCAAAGTAAAAGAGAAGGTAGGAGGAATATGAGCCTTTGACTATCTCCTGCACTAGGAACTCTTCAACTAGATCTAAAACTCTTTGAGGGCAGGCAGGCATCAGCTCTGATTCATACTTTTATCTTTTCCATTTGACATTGTCTATTACTACATACATGTCCAATGAGTGGAACAGGGGAAAAGCAAGGGGAATATTGGAAAATATTTCTAGCTATCTTCCTCATTCAGTTTAGTATGGGCTTGGCCTAAGTAGGGGTACTATCCTGCGCTACAATGCTTAATTCACGAAGAGATGCCTCGAGTTCTGCTCCAGAAACTGATTCCTGTGGTAGACACTGGGCCACAGGGTTGACACAGGATTCCTCTTATACACATTCACAATCAGATGTGGGCAATTTGGACCCTGAAGTGTTTGCTTAAAACCAAGCGAGACAAAAGACAAAGTAGGAACTTATGTAACAGCAATACTCACAAGACAATATGTTGGAAATGAACTGTACAACTTGGAGGGTGGGACTGAGTTGGGGAAAGAGGGAGAAAAATGCAGGAGGGGGTAACAAGTTAGACAAGACATGTAATCACTAATTTATGTAACTCTAACGCCTCTATACATCACCTGGACAATAAAATAAAAAAAACAAATAAAATAAGAACAAAAAAATCACCAGCCATTAATTGATACACCCATACCACCATCCCAGCTTTTCTGACTTCCATGGAACAATTTATATGTCCTCCATACCTATAAGACTAGGTGCATTACCCTAATTCTGTTCTTAGTTTTCTACTCCAAAGCAGAGTGACTCATCAATATATCCATATGAGGAAAACCCTGTATGCCCTCTGAGGGAACGCTGGAATCCAAAAAGACTGGAAATGGCTTGATCAGATGTGCCCAGAGTGGAGCAGCAACATTGTTGTGCAATGCTTTCCTGCTTGAAGCAAGAAAACAGAGAACTTATCACTGGCTCACAGAGGAAGTAGCTGGAAAGGAGTATCTGTTGACAGACTATGTAGCATTTTGATGCTGATAGCAACCAGTATTCCAAGTGCCTGTGAAACTTTCCCCTCCCATTGCCCAAGGCAATTAACATTTACTTCTTTGTTCATTCATCCTGTGCAGGGCTGCTTGCTCATACCCATTTCTACCTCTTAAATGACCTTCAGATATTCCTTTACACCTGTGTGAAGATGGGGAGACAAAAGACAAGTACTCTCTGTGAGTTGTCTCATTTTCATTAATTTTTAACAGAACACCTCTGGCTTGGAACACCTAAAAGGTGGTTGAAGTCACCAGGTAGCAGGAACACATTCCAAGGATGAGCGAAGGGCATCGGATACTTCTTGCTGCACCCATCTTGGATACTTCTTGCTGCACCCATCTTGCGTGCTCCAAATAATATTCTGGTATATATCTAGCAAGCAGGCTGTAGGATTCTTTTGAAAGAAACATGAAGAAATGTCCTTTAATTCATCCATCACCATGGGGGTGTACAGAGTATATCGGGTCTTGCAATGTGTACCCAGAAGCATTTATAAAACAAAAACAAACAAAAAAAAACCAGGCAGATGGATGCTACCAAGATCCATGCTTCTGTTCACAGATCCTACCTCCTCTCCATACTTCTTGCCCAATAGTTCCTGGGTGGCTTGGTCTGTTTGTTTTTTACAGGAACAAGAACATAATCCAGAGGTTGTAGAACCCTCTAGCCTAAAGCAAAGAATGGCACAGGTCAGAATTTTACTTCCTGCCTTTGCCCTCTCCAGTTTATCAAAGAACTTGAGCCACAGCGTCACTTCCCATTTTCGAGTGGTTTATTGGAGATAAGAATCTCATGGACTTTCCTACCCCGGCTGGCTTTGAACCGTGATCCTCAGATCTCAGTCTCCCAGTAGCTAGGTTGCTTGTTTTTGTAAGGTACTAACTTGATACTTTATTATGGTTGAAAGAAATTACATTAAATACCATAGTGAATATTCCCAACACATTTTAATTCCAGAAAATATCACTTGCCAATATTGTTAAATTCAAAATCTGCTTTCTCCCTCTTTCTTCCTTTTTTTTATTCCTGCTTTGTTTTCTCCCTCCACACTCATGAGTAACAGTGTCAGAGCTATTTCTCTTCTTAATAATGGTATTTGACTTATATCCTTGTGTCATAACTAAGGAGATCCAAGTCTTTGCTTTTTTAGATGATAGAAAAATGTAATGCTGAACATGTTTATAGTCTCAAGGATGCCTAACTGAAAAAAAATAGATGTCTATAACTAAAGGAAATTTTCTTTGAATTAGCATCTTATACTAAGTAAACTGTATTCTTTATGTATCCCATATTTTCTTTATTCAATAATATAGAATTTGTTGCCTGTAGCATATTCACATTAGATTTGTTGTTCTTATTATTTCTCTTGCCTAGTTACTTTATGCAATTAGTCATGCTCATTATACAAGAGCTTATACATTGGGTTTATTTACAGCACTTTCATTTATTTGGGAAACTACATGGCATTGTGTTAAATCTGTCCTTATGGATATTAAACAATATCTGTTCATAATTTTGTTTGCTTATTTTAATATTTAATAAGCTTCTTTTTCAGATTGGCTTCTTAGTTTCTCATGAATCAGAATAGTTTGGTGAACTGAAGATAATCACAATTGCTTTGCTATGAATCAGAAAAGAAGAAACCATTTGTCAACATTTATCATTTGATCTAAGAAGTAGATGATAATAATGTGACTTTCATTTTATGAAGCAAGACCTTAAAGATCTGAAAGTTCTGCCTTCTTCACTTGGTATACTATTTGGAGCCAGCTTTCAT